CAATCATTATGTCTTTTAAGATTACGACGACAATATGCCGAGCTGATCTTTTATGACCAAGCTCATACATGTATGAGGTGGGCCTTGTGAGCAATAGATGTGAGATCGAAGGTTGGTCGTCAACAACATATATACTTGTGATATACAGGAATCAAATTGGGAAAGTATTTGTATGAAGACTTATCTTGAAAGTGGTATCACAACAAGGTTCTGTAAGTGTGAAAAGAAGGATGGCGAACAACTATCTTCCCATTCCTCGACTCACTAGGCAACCTAGTACTTTGCCATATTCATATGAGACTTCTCATGGAAGTCAAGATTTGTGGGACTCGTAGAAAAAAGGTTATGAGCATCAAAAGAAGAGAGATTGTCATTATCTCGAGCCCAATGAGACTTGCAAAAAACAACCTTCATGTTGGTCCTTGGAGTTCTTCCCCAACGGGAAATGAAAGGCTCAGGTAATCATTACATCTGTAACATAATAGCCAAGGTTACACCGTTTCAATACAAACATTTCCATTTACTACTTCCATGACAGTTATCCAACTTACCACTGCATTCCAGCAAAACATACAACTGAATTCAACCAAGGACTAACATTTATCAAGCTCAAATCAACAAATATAATTTTGCAGAGCTTGAAATGCAAAAATTACAAAATATCAAAACCGCACTTAAAGCCACATCTCACCTCTATGGATACTTGTTTAGGCGAGACTTCTTCAGTGTGGATGAGGGGCGAGACTTCTTCGATGTGGATGAGGGACTTGGGGTCTCTGTAAATGCAGACGGGCAAAGACCATTAACTGTGCATATATCACAGCGAGGCCTCAGTGGTGTACATACAGTCTGCCCGAACCCCACCTATGCACCAAATTCAGCAATATTTTATGAAACAAGAAAGTGAAATTCACCCAAATCACGCTATAACGTTCAATATAAATGAAACCAGTGCGAGTAAAGTCATTGCTCGAACTGGAAAGTAGGTTGACATTTATGGTCAATTTAATCTATAATATAGTTTAAAACCTTCCAAAGATTTTCTACAACAATACAAGCAGAAAATGAATTGACGAGCCTTCCTATTGTCAAATTTTATTACTTGCTAAACCAAAATACCCTAAATCTAGAAAACTTATGTTTAAATCAAGAAAAAACCAGTGTGCTTTGAAAAGCATATTTCTATTTGTACTTCAGATGTAAACTGCCAGCATTTTTCAGAAAAAGCAGCGGCATTATCTACCATAGATTAATAGCCGGGTTGAGGAATATAAAAAAAAATTGATGAAACAGTATATAAAAA